GTGTGGTGGTGGTGGTAGTGATGTGTGTGGTGGTGGTGGTGGTAGTGATGTGTGTGGTGGTGGTGGTGGTAGTGATGTGTGTGGTGGTGGTGGTGGTAGTGATGTGTGTGGTGGTAGTGGTAGTGATGTGTATGGTGGTGGTGGTGGTAGTGATGTGTGTGGTGGTGGTGGTGGTAGTGATGTGTGTGGTGGTGGTGGTAGTGATGTGTGTGGTGGTGGTGGTGGTAGTGATGTGTGTGGTGGTGGTGGTAGTGATGTGTGTGGTGGTGGTGGTAGTGATGTGTATGGTGGTGGTGGTGGTGGTAGTGATGTGTGTGGTGGTGGTGGTAGTGATGTGTGTGGTGGTGGTGGTGGTGGTGATGTGTATGGTGGTGAGGTGGTAGTGATGTGTATGGTGGTGGTGGTGGTGGTAGTGATGTGTATGGTGGTGGTGGTGGTGGTAGTGATGTGTGTGGTGGTGGTGGTAGTGATGTGTGTGGTGGTGGTGGTGGTAGTGATGTGTGTGGTGGTGGTGGTGGTAGTGATGTGTGTGGTGGTGGTGGTGGTAGTGATGTGTGTGGTGGTGGTGGTGGTAGTGATGTGTGTGTGGTGGTGGTGGTAGTGATGTGTATGGTGGTGAGGTGGTAGTGATATGTATGGTGGTGGTGGTGGTGGTGAGGTGGTAGTGATGTGTATGGTGGTGGTGGTGGTGGTGATGTGTATGGTGGTGATGGTGGTGGTGGTAGTGAGGTGGTGGTGATGTGTATGGTGGTGATGGTGATCACAGTGGTGGTAGTGGTGGTGGTGGTAGTGATGTGTATGGTGGTGGTGGTGGTGGTGAGGTGGTAGTGATGTGTATGGTGGTGATCGCAGTGGTGGTGGTGGTGGTGGTAGTGATGTGTATGGTGGTGGTGGTGGTGGTGGTAGTGATGTGTGTGGTGGTGATGGTGATCACAGTGGTGGTAGTGGTGGTGGTGGTAGTGATGTGTATGGTGGTGGTGGTGGTGGTGGTGAGGTGGTAGTGATGTGTGTGGTGGTGGTGGTAGTGATGTGTATGGTGGTGGTGGTAGTGATGTGTATGGTGGTGGTGGTGGTAGTGATGTGTATGGTGGTGGTGGTAGTGATGTGTATGGTGGTGGTGGTAGTGATGTGTATGGTGGTGGTGGTGGTAGTGATGTGTATGGTGGTGGTGGTAGTGATGTGTATGGTGGTGGTGGTAGTGATGTGTATGGTGGTGGTGGTGGTGGTGTTGAGGTGGTAGTGATGTGTATGGTGGTGACGGCGATCGCAGTGGTGGTGGTGGTGGTAGTAGTGTGGGTGCTGGAGCTGGCGGCTGGCAACCGCTGCAGACACTAGGTGATGGGTGACCTCCCTGTCTCTTAAGGTCAGAGGCTCTGCATTTCTGACCAGCTTGGTAGAGACTGATGCTTCTGGACCCAGCTACAACTTTGCAAGTCAGCGGGGAGGACGCTGTGCGGCCACCCGGCTCAGGGGCCCTGGCCCCGCTCTCACGGGTTGGGGGCCTGCCCGCTCTGTGGGCCTCCCTCAGCTCTGGGCACACGCCACCTTCTGGGTGGAGCCATCGTCCCCCTGCGCCTGCTCCCGCCGCCTCTCCACTCACCCCTTCTTACTCTTCACCTTCTCCCTATGACTAACCCGATGGCTTGGCTTCTTTCACAAGCGTGTGTGCTCACATTTCCCTGGCTCCCGCGTCTCGGCCTGCTGGGACAGCTGGAGGCTGCCCGTGTCTTCAGAGCATCAGCACCCACTGTTGACAGCCGGTTTTGGAAACCCATCCTTCCTCAGGGTCGCCAGATTTAGTAAGAATGCAAGAAAGATGCAAGAAGAGCAGCCCCTTTTTGCGCACACAGCGTGCATGTGCACACACGAGACCGGACTGGAATCTAAGTGTGAGTGTGTAGAGACAGAGACCGACTGAGATCTATGGCGAATGGGTGTCTAGATAAATGACGTGCAGCATGTAGGCGTCATCTACATACACACTATAGAGCCTGCACTCTGGAGTATCCTCGTGTGTGTGTGTGTGTGTGTGTGTGTGTGTGTGTGTGTGTGAAGAGGCTCTGAGAAGCCCAGGAACCCCACCCACACCAGACATTTGTCAAAATCAGTCATCCTCGTAGTGGCCATGAGATGGCGCTATTACTCCATGCTCCAGACAAGGAAACAGGCAGCGTTAGGGAGCCTTACTCAGGCCTGCCATAGATAAGTCCCTCTTTAAAACCTCTATTTTAATGTCGGGGAGGTGTGAACACCCTCCCAGCAGAGAACACGCTCCGGGGCCTCCATTAGCTTTTAGCTTGTCTGTGCCAAGCCGCTTCTGGCCAGTGGACCCTAATGCATAAAGGGGTGACAGCCCTCAGGCCAAGATGCCACTGAGATGGTGGGGGGGGGAGGGGGCAGGGGCAGCGGGACAGGGCCAACACTCACCCATATGATGTGGATCCTGCTGTGGGCCGTGTCTAGGGTGTTATAAAAGGCCTGGACTACGTCCTGGAATTCAGCAGTGCTCTGAGCCAGGGCCTCCCGCGTGCCCAGGGGGCCCTGTAGACTCTGGCACTGTGGGAGCCAGAGTCACCAAGACCACGTATGGGCACTGGACCACTAGCCAGCCCACTCTGCCCTCTCCCAGTCCAAGCCAAACTCACCCGTGCCGGCCAAGGCCTCCGGAGGGAAGGCCGAGCTCCGCTCCTGGGGCCCAGCAAGCAGAGCAGCTGTAAGTGGCGAGTGGCCCTGGCTGGCTGGGCCCCAAGCCACGCAGGATGGTGCAGTCTCCACGCAGGGCGGCTCTCCTGGTAGAGTGTGAGCAGCCCGTCTGGCTAGTCGGGGAGCAGGCCGGGAGCTCCACGGCCATCCCCACCTCCAGACGCACCTCACAACCCTGGGAGGAGGCCACGGAGGGGCCACCTTCTCCCCTGCCCCCCTCGGAGGCAGCCCCCCCAATCCACACTTACACCAGCCACCAGGGCTTCTGCCAGCACTGCAGGGCCTGGGACAGGAAAACAAAGTGAAGCCAAAGGCCGGACGGAGAGAGGGCAGGGCTGCCTGGGCTGCTTTTCCGGGCCAGGGCCGCCTGGGCTGCTTTTCCGGGCCAGGCTGGCGGCCCCTGACCTGTGGGAGCCCCAGCCCCAGGCCCCAGCCCTGGTCCTTAGGGCCCTCCGGCAGTCCCTGGCTGATGGTGAATGAGATGTCTGGCTGTCTTCCACTCCCCTGGCCTCTTCCTGTGGCCTGGACACGACCAAGGAGACCCAGTCCCTGCCTGCCAGGGGTCTCTTTGGTGCCCCTACTCCCAGCATGGGCAGTGCTGCTTCTCCAGGGCTGCCCCTGGTTGAGGCTGGCGTTCATACCTGTCACCAGAAGGTGAGGGTGGAGACGCTTCCCTTTAAATGTAGGAACTCACGTAGAGTCTGTGATGTGACTTCCATCACAGAGTAAGAATTTTGGGACAAGTCACAATGGTAAGAAAACTTGGCAGAGCTTTATTGAGTGAGAAACAAGCAGGCAGGCGGACAGACAAAAAGCAGACACACACAGAAGGGCAGAGGCACACTCTGACAAAGTATGGGAGATGGAGACACGCAGCTCCTTGGGCTGATGGAGTGTTTGTAAGATAAAGGCAGGAGGTCTGGCTTCAAAATGATGTAAAGATAGGTGCTTTGTCTTTGCTGTAGTCACACCTGACATTACTCTGGCTTCTAGGTAAGAATGAATCCTGCCATAAAACAGATCCTTATCCTTGAGAGAAGGAGGTTCCCCTGCATTTTGGGGCAGGAGGTGGCTTAAGTTTGGGGGAGCATTTCTCCCAGAAAGGCATACATCCTGTCAGACAAGTGTTAATTCTTGAGATGAGGAGCGCACCCCTCAGGAAAGCATGCATTTCTCCCTTTGAAGCAAAGATGGCACTTGTTTCTTTCTTTTCTTTTCTTTTCTTTTTTGTTAGTGGGGCTTGAACTCTGGGCCTGGGCGCTGTTCCTCAGCTCTTCAGCTCAAGGTGAGCACTCTACCACTTGAACCACTGCACCACTTCTGGTTTTCTGGTGGTTTTATTGGAGATAAGAGTCTCAGACTTTCCTGCCTGGGCTGGGTCTGAACCTCGATCCTCAGATCTCAGCCTCCTGAGTAGCTAGGATTACAGGCGTGAGCCACCGGCGCCTGGCTGTTCCCTTAATCTTAAAGAGAAATATATGAAGGAATATTTCCTACATTTGCTGTAAGCTGACCATTCCTCATTTTCTCTTCATCCATCCTGCTTCATTTCCCCTAAAATGACTTTTGTTCCCTTCTTCTCCAGGGAAGATCAGTCTTTGAATCCTGGCAGCCACCTACCATGCCTTGTTTTCCCTAGGCTATCCTGCCTTGGTACCCACTTAGCCTGACATCTGGGTGCTGGGAGTGAGTGGCTCCATGCGGAAGGTTCACACCCCTCACAGCCCCTGCAGCGTGCCCACTCCCTGCTGGGGTTCTGACCTGTGTCCCCCCGCCCTGCCCATACCTCACCCCTGCCAGCGCCCCACTGTAACCCCTAAGGTGCAGCCACTGCGCTAGCATGCCTTGCGTGACTGCTCCTCACACAGTCAGGGCCTAGGACAGGGCCAGGCCTTACCCCCAGCCTGAGCCTTTATTTAGCCAGTCCTGGGCCTTGAACTCAGGGCCTGGGCACTGTCCTTGAGCCTCCGTGCTCAAGGCAAGCGCTCTACCACTGAGCCACATTCCCAGCCCAGCCTGTGCCTTTAGATCCCGCTCTCACCCATCTCTAGTCCCAACCCCGTGGCCTCAACCTGTTTTCTCCCAACATCTCAAAGATGGGTGGAGAATGGTCGCCCATCCCGCTGTCCTGCTGGGTTCCTGCTTGCCTCCAGCCCTGTGCACTTGGCATCATTTTCCTACCACCCTACAGTGGACACAGCGGGCTGGGGGCTGGGTGGGCCTCGTCAAGGCTGCTAATGGCTGCCACCGCTCCCAAAGGCAACGATGACATAAGGCAAAGCCCATTCCAGGGCCTGACGGGCTACGCCTGACCAACCTGGGCCCGAGTCCCCCCAGCCCCCAGCCCATACTGATGCTCAGTACACTGTGGCCTCACTGAGCTCCGTCTCTGGAGCTGAAGCTGCCCCGCCCCAGCCTCCCCACAGCCTAGCTTCGCCTCTCTGGCCTGGCCTGGCAGGGAGGTGTGGTTCTCCCTTCACCCCCCTTCCCTGGCCCTTCGTGGCCTACTTAGCATGAAGCTCAAGGATCCTGACTTGCCTGGGCTTCATTTTTATTTTCTTTCTTCCCTTTCTCTTTTGTGGTCCTGGGCTATGAACTCAGGGCCTCACACTAGGCTGGGGTCCTACTCTTGCACTGTTCCTTAAGCCCTACCATTTCGCTGGTTTTGGGGAGATAAGGCTCAGAGACTTCGCTGTCCTGGCTAACTTCAAGCCACCATCTTCTGGAACCGTTTCCTGAGTAGCCAGGATGACAGGTGTAAGCCACTGGCCAGGCCTAAGCAGCCTTTCCCCAACGCCGTGGCCTGGGGCAGCCCAGCAGCCCAAGCCCAGGGGCACAGGAGCAGGGGCAGGGGCACCAGAGACTGTGGGGCACAGGAGCCCGGGAGAGGCGGGGGGGGGGGGGGCACAGGAGCCCGGGAGAGGCGGGGGGGGGGCACAGGAGCCCGGGAGAGGCGGGGGGGGGGGCACAGGAGCCCGGGAGAGGCGGGGGGGGGGCACAGGAGCCCGGGAGAGGCGGGGGGGGGGGGCACAGGAGCCCGGGAGAGGCGGGGGGGGGGCACAGGAGCCCGGGAGAGGCGGGGGGGGGGCACAGGAGCCCGGGAGAGGCGGGGGGGGGGCACAGGAGCCCGGGAGAGGCGGGGGGGGGGGGCACAGGAGCCCGGGAGAGGCGGGGGGGGCACAGGAGCCCGGGAGAGGCGGGGGGGGGGCACAGGAGCCCGGGAGAGGCGGGGGGGGGGGGCACAGGAGCCCGGGAGAGGCGGGGGGGGGGCACAGGAGCCCGGGAGAGGCGGGGGGGGGGCACAGGAGTCCGGGAGAGGCGGGGGGGGGGCACAGGAGCCCGGGAGAGGCGGGGGGGGGGGGCACAGGAGCCCGGGAGAGGCGGGGGGGAGGGGGAGACACAGGAGCCCGGGAGAGGCGGGGGGGGGGGGGGGGGCACAGGAGCCCGGGAGAGGCGGGGGGGGGGGGCACAGGAGCCCGGGAGAGGCGGGGGGGGGGGCACAGGAGCCCGGGAGAGGCGGGGGGGAGGGGGAGACACAGGAGCCCGGGAGAGGCGGGGGGGGGGGGGGGCACAGGAGCCCGGGAGAGGCGGGGGGGGGGGGGCACAGGAGCCCGGGAGAGGCGGGGGGGGGGGCACAGGAGCCCGGGAGAGGCGGGGGGGGGGCACAGGAGCCCGGGAGAGGCGGGGGGGGGGGGCACAGGAGCCCGGGGAGAGGCGGGGGGGGGGCACAGGAGCCCGGGAGAGGCGGGGGGGGGGGGGGCACAGGAGCCCGGGAGAGGCGGGGGGGAGGGGGAGACACAGGAGCCCGGGAGAGGCGGGGGGGGGGCACAGGAGCCCGGGAGAGGCGGGGGGGGGCACAGGAGCCCGGGAGAGGCGGGCGGGGGGGGCACAGGAGCCCGGGAGAGGCGGGGGGGGGGTCACAGGAGCCCGGGAGAGGCGGGGGGGGGGGCACAGGAGCCCGGGAGAGGCGGGGGGGGGCACAGGAGCCCGGGAGAGGCGCGGGGGGGGGGGACAGGAGCCGGGGGGGGCACACAAGCCTGGGGGCGGGGGACAGGAGCCGGGGGGGGGGGACACAGGAGCCGGGGGGGGGACAGGAGCCTGGGGGGACACAGGAGCCGGGGGGGGGGACAGGAGCCCGGGGGGGGGGACAGGAGCCCGGGGGGGGGACAGGAGCCCGGGGGGGGGGACAGGAGCCGGGGGGGGGACACAGGAGCCGGGGGGGGGACAGGAGCCCGGGGGGGGGGGACAGGAGCCGGGGGGGGGACACAGGAGCCGGGGGGGGACAGGAGCCCGGGGGGGGCACAGGAGCCGGGGGGGGCACAGGAGCCGGGGGGGGGGGGACAGGAGCCCGGGGGGGGGACACAGGAGCCCGGGGGGGGGACACAGGAGCCGGGGGGGCGGCACAGGAGCCGGGGGGGGGGACAGGGAGCCGGGGGGGGGCACAGGAGCCGGGGGGGGACAGGAGCCGGGGGGGGGACAGGAGCCGGGGGGGGACAGGAGCCGGGGGGGGGACAGGAGCCGGGGGGGGGACAGGAGCCGGGGGGGGACAGGAGCCGGGGGGGGGGACAGGAGCCGGGGGGGGGACACAGGAGCCGGGGGGGGAGGACAGGAGCCGGGGGGGGGGACACAGGAGCCGGGGGGGGGGGACACAGGAGCCGGGGGGGGGGACAGGAGCCGGGGGGGGACACAGGAGCCGGGGGGGGACAGGAGCCGGGGGGGGACAGGAGCCGGGGGGGGGCACAGGAGCCGGGGGGGGGGACACAGGAGCCGGGGGGGGACACAGGAGCCGGGGGGGGACAGGAGCCGGGGGGGGGCACAGGAGCCGGGGGGGGACAGGAGCCGGGGGGGGGGACAGGAACGGGGGGGACAGGAGCCGGGGGGGGGGGACAGGAGCCGGGGGGGGGGACACAGGAGCCGGGGGGGGACAGGAGCCGGGGGGGGACAGGAGCCGGGGGGGGACACAGGAGCCGGGGGGGGGACAGGAGCCGGGGGGGGGGGACACAGGAGCCGGGGGGGGGGGACAGGAGCCGGGGGGGGGACAGGAGCGGGGGGGGGACGGGAGCGGGGGGGGGGAACAGGAGCCGGGGGGGGGGGGACAGGAGCCGGGGGGGACAGGAGCCGGGGGGGGGGACAGGAGCCGGGGGGGGGACAGGAGCCGGGGGGGGGACAGGAGCCGGGGGGGGGGACAGAGCCGGGGGGGGGACAGGAGCCGGGGGGGGGGGACAGGAGCGGGGGGGGGGAACAGGAGCCGGGGGGGGGACAGGAGCCGGTGGGGGACAGGAGCCGGGGGGGGACAGGAGCCGGGGGGGACAGGAGCCGGGGGGGGGGACAGGAGCCGGGGGGGGGGGGACAGGAGCCGGGGGGGGGGGGACAGGAGCCGGGGGGGGAGGACAGGAGCCGGGGGGGGGCACAGGAGCCGGGGGGGACAGGAGCCGGGGGGGGGGACAGGAGCCGGGGGGGGGGGACAGGAGCCGGGGGGGGTGACAGGAGCCGGGGGGGGGCACATGAGCCGGGGGGGGGGGGGACAGGAGCCGGGGGGGGGGACAGGAGCCGGGGGGGGGACAGGAGCCGGGGGAGGACAGGAGCCGGGGGGGTGGGGGACAGGAGCCGGGGGGGGGACAGGAGCCGGGGGGGGGGGGACAGGAGCCGGCGGGGGGGGACAGGAGCCGGGGGGGGACAGGAGCCGGGGGGGGGGACAGGAGCCAGGGGGGGACAGGAGCCGGGGGGGCGACAGGAGCCGGGGGGGGACCCCGGCAGGGGCGGCGGGGCTCAGGCGCCGCTCGGCCCGTGGAAGGGCTGCCCGGCCCCGGCCCTGCCGGGTGGGAGGCTGAGCCCCGGGGCCGCCGGGAGAACCGGGAGAAGGGTGAGCGCTCTGCGGCGGAGCGCGGACGCCGCGGGGACTCCCGGCCGGCCGGCCAACGGCCAGGACAGGCGCCTGCTCCCGGGCGCCGACGGCTCCCGCGCCCGACCCGGGCCGCCGCGGACAGCCGCCCGACCCCGCCGGGAGGCGTCGCGCCACGCAGCGCCCAGCGGATCCGCGGCGTCCCCCGGCGCCGGGGAGTCACGGGGTCGCGGGGAGCCCCCGCCCCGCCGCGGGCCCCCGCCCACCTCAGAGCCCGGCGCCTCTCACGGGCCCCGCCCGCCGCGGGCCCCGCCCACCTCAGAGCCCGGCGCCTCTCACGGGCCCCGCCCGCCGCGGGCCCCGCCCACCTCAGAGCCCGGCGCCTCTCACGGGCCCCGCCCGCCGCGGGCCCCGCCCACCTCAGAGCCCGGCGCCTCTCACGGGCCCCGCCCGCCGCAGGCCCCGCCCACCTCAGAGCCCGGCGCCTCTCACGGGCCCCGCCCGCCGCAGGCCCCGGCTCGTTATCTCACAGGTCCCGCCCCGCCGCAAGGCCCCGCCCACCTCAGGTTCCCAGCTCGTTATCTCACAGGCCCCGCCCCGCCGCAAGGCCCCGCCCACCGCAGGCCCCGGCCCGTCGTCTCACAGGCCCCGCCCCGCCGCAAGGCCCCGCCCCATCACAAGGCCCCGCCCCGCCCCGTCACAAGGCCCCGCTGCGTCCCCGCCAGCCGCCAGCGCAGGCCCAACGGAGCCGGCCGCCCGCGGGTGCAGGTGCGGACGCACCGGCCATCTCCGCGCGGCGCGCAGCGGACTCGGGGCGCATCGGCCTGCGGCGCCCCGGAGCGGTGAGTCCTCGGCCCGAGCCCAGACGGGCTGTCCCAGCCGCGCCAGCCGCCCGGCCGCCCGCCGCCCCCGCCCAGGCCCTGCTCCGCCGAGCGCCACCGGCCGGCCCGTCGGCCCGGCCCGACCGCGGGTGCGCGGCCCGCTCGGCCCGGATGGCGGCGGCGGTGGGGGTGGGGAGCTGCGGCAGCGCCGGGAGGAGTGGGGGCGGCGCGCTGCGGCGGGGCGGGGCGGGGGCCGCGGCCTGGGGGAAGGCCCGCACCCCGCGCCGCGCTCCGCCGGCCCCCGCCGCCGCCCGCACCCCCGCCCGCACCCCCCGGCCCGCACCCCCGGCCTGCTCCGTCTCCCGCACCCGCGGCCCGCACCCCCGGCCTGCTCCGTCTCCCGCACCCCCGGCCCGCACCCCCGGCCTGCTCCGTCTCCCGCACCCCCGGCCCGCACCCCCGGCCTGCTCCGTCTCCCGCACCCCCGGCCCGCACCCCCGGCCTGCTCCGTCTCCCGCCACCCCCGGCCCGCACCCCCGGCCTGCTCCGTCTCCCGCACCCCCCGGCCCGCACCCCCGGCCTGCTCCGTCTCCCGCACCCCCGGCCCGCACCCCAGGCCTGCTCCGTCTCCCGCACCCCACCGCCCGCACCCCGTCGCCTACTCCCCACCTGCACCCCGTCGCCCGCACCCCACGCTTGCTTTGTTCCCCGCACGTCCTCCGCCCCCCCCCCGCCCCCCGCAGCCCGCTGTTCCCGCACACCCACGGGCAAACACCCGGCCGCGGGCGCGGGAGGTCAGAGCCCGCGGGGCACAGATGGCCGGGATTTCCTCGGATAGAAATAGCCGGGCCCAAGCTGCTTAGGCGGCCGGCGCACCCCGCACCCACTCGCGCGGCCCGAGCCCCGAATCTGGGACTGGCTCCCGGCCCTCCCCCCTGCCTCCCCTCCCCTCCTCCCCGCCGGGCCCTCCCCGCAGCCCCGGGCGAAGGTCGCGGGCTTCCTTGCTCCCCGCGGCCTGGAGCTAACTGCGGCTCTCTCTCCTCTAGGGGCCGCCTGCGGAACTTGAGGCCATGTCCCATGAAAAGAGTTTCTTGGTGTCTGGGGACAACTACCCTCCCCCCCAACCCCGGGTTTCCCGGGGGGCCCCAGCCTCCTATGCACCCCTACCCGCCCTATCCTGGCACCCCCTACCCTCAGCCCCCCTTCCAGCCCTCCCCCTACGGTCAGCCAGGGTATCCTCACGGGCCCAGCCCCTACCCCCAGGGGGGCTACCCTCAGGGTCCTTACCCCCAGGGGGGCTACCCACAGGGCCCCTACCCCCAGGGGGGCTACCCACAGGGGCCGTACCCCCCAGAGCCCCTTCCCCCCCAACCCTTATGGACAGCCACAGCCCTTCCCGGGCCAGGACCCTGACTGTGAGTATGGAAAGGGGTGGGGCATGGGCAGGGTCGCCGGCACCCTGGGGCGCCCTGACCCAGCCCCCTGTGCCCCCAGCACCACAGCACGGCAACTATCAGGAGGAGGGACCCCCATCCTACTATGACAACCAGGACTTCCCTGCCACCAACTGGGACGACAAGAGCATCCGGCAGGCCTTCATCCGCAAGGTGTCCGCAGTCCCCCACGGGGGAGGGGGGGACCCCGGAGGCTGGGCCCCGTTCTGACTGGCTCCCTCCCCAGGTGTTCCTGGTGCTGACCCTGCAGCTGACGGTCACCCTGTCCACCGTGGCCGTGTTCACGTTTGTCAAGGAGGTGAAGGGCTTTGTCCGAGACAATGTGTGGACCTACTACGTCTCCTACGCTGTCTTCTTCATCTCCCTCATCGTCCTCAGCTGCTGTGGGGACTTCCGGCGAAAGCACCCCTGGAACCTCGTGGCACTGGTAACCCCCAAGCCTGAGCCCAGGTCCCCTTGGGCTGGTAGAGCAGGGACAGGCAAAGATGTGGGCAAGGGCATGGCTGCCTGCATGCCCAGCACCCCCGGCCTCTCCTCCCACAGTCCATTCTGACCGTCAGCCTGTCCTACATGGTGGGGATGATCGCCAGCTTCTACAACACCGAGGCCGTCATCATGGCAGTGGGCATCACCACGGCGGTGTGCTTCACGGTGGTCATCTTCTCCATGCAGGTGAGTGGCCCCCTCCCCCCCTACCTGAGCCAGGGCTTGGGCTGAGGCCCTCCAGGGCCTGCCCCTCCCAGCCTCTGCCCTCTCCTAGACGCGCTATGACTTCACCTCGTGCATGGGTGTGCTCCTGGTGAGCATCGTGGTGCTCTTCATCTTCGCTATCCTCTGCATCTTCATCCGGAACCGCATCCTGGAGATCGTGTACGCCTCGCTGGGCGCCTTGCTCTTCACCTGTGTGAGTGGCGGGTGAGGCGTCCTGGGCGGGGTGGGGTGGGGCGGGCAGGCTGCTCGTCGTTACTCTGGTGCTTTGTTGCCCCAGTTCCTGGCCGTGGACACCCAGCTGCTGCTGGGGAACAAGCAGCTGTCCCTGAGCCCGGAAGAGTACGTGTTCGCGGCTCTGAACCTGTACACGGACATCATCAACATCTTCCTGTACATCCTCACCATCATCGGCCGAGCCAAGGAGTAGCACCGGCCCGAGGTGGGCGTGGCTGGCCGGGACCCCCACCCCTGACGTGACAATGCCACCTGTGTTTTCTCCTGTTCCCCAGGCACAGCTTGGGCAGACAGAGCCCCTTCCACCCCGTGTTTGTGCACTACAGATGTGAATGTGTGGACCCGCCGTGGCCACAGCATGGCCTCCTTTAGTCCTCCTTCCCCGCCAAGGGGCCGTGGGGGCTGCGTCTCTGTGCCATCTTTTGTCCCCTCACTGTTGCATGAGCCCTGTCTGTCAGCCCCCCCGCCTGGGGGCAAAGCCAGCTCCCTGGGGAGAGGGAGTGAGCCAGAGGTGAGGGTGCACGTCTTTCCTCCTGTCCCAGCCCCCAGCCTGGCCTAGAACACCCTTTCCCTCCCCACCCTGGAGCCCTGTCGTCGGGGGACATGCAGGGTGGGGGTCTCATTCTGTGCTGAGCTCTGAGAGCAGAGGCTGGCGTGTTTCAGGGAGAAGGAAGCCTTCCTTTCATGCTGCTGTCATTAAAATCCCAATAAATGGTACCTTCTGCTCTCTGCTTCCCCCGAGCCTCCTCACGCTTCTTCCATGAGGTGGGGAGGGTGCCGCGGGCGTGCCCAATGGGGAGCCCACGAGAGGCCTGGCGTGGGTCAGCAGCCAGCGCCTGGTCTGTTTTTTGTCTGAGACCAGGACTCTGTTCTGGCGTGTTCCCTCATTGGCTGACGCTCTACCGCGTGAGCCACGCCTCCAGAAGCCAGTACTCTGCTCCTGCGTCCACCTCCTTCCTTGCCATCTCCTCGGCTGCATTTTCACGTTGGACAGGGACCCTGAGTCTGTCACATGTGGCAAGTGACACCACCCCCCCCCCCCCCCGCCGTGGGGCCTGTGGAATAGCCTGTCATTCCCCCAGACCCAGGCCAGCGCCTGATCATGGACACACCCCTGACAGCTGCTCGGAGGCAGCTCTGCCGCCCCAGCCCTTGGCCTCACCCTCCGTATCTGGTGCGGGCACTTGGCGCTGGCTTGCGAGCCAGGGCTCAATGAAGGGGACATGGCCTGTTTTTGCATACTGCCTGCTTTGGAACCCAGGCTCTGGAGTGTGGACCCCACAGGTCAGCCATCCATCCAAATTCTCACCCACTCCACAGGAGGGACCTCGGTGCCAGAGCCCAGGGCTGAGTCCCCTGCGCTCCTACAGAGTCCTCAGGCCCAAGCCCACCCTGCATCTGCTGGGCCCTCGAAGCCCTGGCTGGCTGCGGCACCTGGTGAGCCCGTCGGTGCTGCCTGCTGAGCCGGTGCCAGGACCTTCCCACAGCGAGAGGCCTGTATGCCACCCAGGCCTCAGGCTTAGCCCAGCCTCAGCCTGCTGCTCCTGCATTATCTCCCCAGGCCAGAAGGGGCTGTGCTCCCCCTCTTCCTTGGCTCCTCTCCCTACGCAGCTTCCTCTGCCTCGCTCAGCATCGCGACGCCTACCAACCTGTCCTGTGAGACATGGGCCACGTGATCTGCTTGCAAAGACACTCCCCAGGCCCCGTCAGGATGGCCCCTGGGCCCTGCGCTCTGCGCCCCGCTGCCCGGAGTCCCGCTCAGCCCCAGCTCCCACCTCCCAAGAGCCACAGGGAGAGTCTCTGTGAGGGTGGTGTGCACACAGCCCACTTCCTCATCCAGGGCACAGCCACAGAGGCCAAGCATGCTGATGAGAAGCCTTGCGCTGGCTGCCACATCCCTTGGAATGGAGGGACAGCTGGGGTCTAGAGATAATGGGACAAGCAACAAAGGGATCCAGAAAAAAAGTCCTACTAGCAGAGGGAGGCCAGCGGCTGTGGTGACGTGCACATAACCCAGGCTACTCAAGAAACAGAACCAAGAACCAGTTCAAAGCCAGCCCAAGCAGAAAAGTCTTGACTCTTTATCTCCAATAAACCAGCAAAAAGGCAGAAATGGAGGTGTGTGGCTCAAGTGATAGAGCTCTAACCTTGAGCAAAAATGCCAAGCAAAAGCTTGAGACTGAATTCAAGCCAAAAACAGGAGCTGGGAATGTGGCTTAGTGCTTGTCTAGCACGCATGAAGCCCTGGGTTTGATTCCTCAATACCACATACACAGAAAAAGCCAGAAGTGGCACTGTGGCTCAAGTGATAGTGCTAACCTTGAGCAAAAGCAGCTCAGGGACAGCGCCCAGGCCCTGAGTTCAAGCTCAGGACTGACAACAACAAAAGAAGAAAAAAGGTGAATAGGGTGGGGCACAGCAGGAGCCGTGGAGAGCAGGTGCTGGGGAAGATGAGTCCAGAGAGACGCACCGCCGCGGAGGCGCTGAGGGGTCAGGAAGCTGTAAGCAAATGGAGAGGTGCACAGACATCCATGCAGCAAGCCCTGCCACTGGGGGCAGGCTGAGCACCCCCTGGGGAGACAAGCACCCGAAGGCTGGGGAGATGAGCAACAGGGGCTCATGACAAGAGCACACCTTAACAGAAAAGCTCGTGCACACGCGATAAATCCTCTGGTTCTCAACACAAACAGCAGAATCGGTGGAACCCGATGTTCACATCTCTACACCTTCCCACCCTGCAGAGGAATGCCACCGCCAGGCTGGTTGAAAGCCTGGTGAGGGCCTGACCAGGAGCCTGTCTCCTGTGCCCCGGGCCACAGCCTCTGGCTCTCCAGGTCCAGTGTTGGAAGTATCTTTCAGGTGAGCCCAGGGCCTGTCACAGCACAGAGTCAAAGAGAATAAACTGTGCACAGCATGAGCCACGTAGGCACCAATGCCTCGGGATCAGGAGGGTTGGGGCGGCAGAGCTCTGGAATTTGCCTCAGCCTTCATGCTGGTGAGGATGTAGGTCAGGAGCAGCAGCCGCAACACAAAAGGCCAGCGGGACGCACAGAGGCACAGTTGTGGGCACCACTCAACCAAAGGGGCAACGCGGGAGACAGCCCATGGGAGTCGGGGCCACCTGCAGACGGCCACAGCAGGAGTGCTCAAAACTCCCAAGTGTGTGAAGACCACCCAAGTGCTCTGAGCAGAGGCAGGATGATGGGCAAGGACCCCATAATGCACACAAGGCAAAGAAGCCAAGTGGCGCTGTGGCTCAAGTGGTAGAGTGCTAATCTTGAGCTGAAGAGCTGAGGGACAGCGCCCAGACCCAGAGTTCAGGCCCCAAGACCAACCAAAAAAAAAAAAAAAAAGACAATAGTAAACTGGACACCAGTGGCTCACACCTGTAATCCTAGCTACTCAGGAGGCTGAGATCTGAGGATCGAGGTCCAAAGCCAGAAAGTCCATGAGACTCTTATGTCCAATTAATCACCAGAAAACTGAAAGTGATGCTGTGGCTCAAGTGGTAGAGTGCTCACCTTGAGCTGAAGAGCTGAGAGACAGCATCTTGGCCCAGAGTTCAAGCCCCACAACCGACCAATAAAAAAAAATAAAAATAAAAAAAGACAATACCAAGCTGGGTGCGCCAGTGGCTCATGCTTATAATCTGGGCTACATGGGAGGCTGAGATCTGAGGGTTGCTGTTGGAAGCCAGCTTGGGCAGGAAAGTCCATGAGACTCTTACCTCCAATTAGCCACCAAAAAACTGGAAGTGGAGCTGTGGCTCTACTAGCCTTAAGCAAAAAAGCTCAGGGACAATACTCAGGCCCTGAGTTCAAGCCCCAGGACCGGCACCAAAAAAAAAAATACTAGCAAGAGTAAAAATTTAACTAATGAAATGAAACACTTACAACTCTATATATCTAGTAAGGAATTAGCATCCAGAATGATATAGAGAGAACACTTAAAATTCAACAACAAAACCAACCCAACAACAACAACAACAAAAACCAGACATCTCTGTTCAAGTATGGGCAAAGACTTGAACATAAATTGCTCCAAGGAGAGAAATACCAGTAGCCAGCAGAACACTGGTCTCATGCTTAGGGAAATGTAGACCAAAGCTGCAACAAGATCACCCCCATACAAGCTGTCCAAGCAGGTCGATCATGCTGATGAGTGAACAGAGGCGGGATTCCTGAGGGGTGTGCTGTGTGTTGTGTGTGCTGTGTCCTGTACACTGTGTATGTTTTGTGTGTTGTGTATGTGTGTTCCTACTAGCTGTGGTCAGTTCATCTGAGCGGTATTTTTACCTATTATTTCTTAGGGACCAAATTAGATACAAACACAAAATTTGCTTTCTTTTTTTTTTTTTTTTTTTTGGTTGGTTGTGGGGCTTGAACTGGTCATGGGCCTGGGCGCTGTCCCTGCACTCTTCAGCTCAAGGCTAGCGCTCTACCACTTGAGCTACAGTGCCACTTCCGGTTTTCTAGTGGGTTATTGGAGTTAAGAGTCCTATGGACTTTCCTGCCCCGGCTGGCTTTGAATCTCAATCCTCAGATCTCAGCCTCCTGAGTAGCTAGGATGACAGGAGTGAGCCACCGGCACCCGGCTTCACAAAATTTGCTTTCAAGTCCAATTGTGCCCAAACATTAATCATGTTGAAATAAATTTGCATTTCAAAGCAGCAAACCTAACAGTATATTTATTTATGTTTAAACCCAGGGCCTCATGAAATGCTCTTCCTCTTAAGCAATACCCCTGGCCTTAAAAAGAAAAAAAAGTAAATTCCCTCTATTACCTGGATTTTCAATACCGCCACAAATTAAGAGTCCCAAGCATGCCAGGAGGCTTGCTCTCCTCACCCAGTGTGCACTGTGTGGATCCCGCAGCTGGAAGGGGGTCTGGAGCTGGAATTCCTCTGAGCACCCTGAGAGACGCTGGCCCAGATCCGGTCCTCAGGAAATGGAGTCAAACTCTGCCCTCGGCGGTCAGTGAACTGAGGCAGGAAGATCACAAGTTCAAGGTCAGCCTGGGCTACTTCATGAGACCCTGTCTCAAAGCACACCCCTCCTCCTGAGCTAGGAACTGACGGCTCATACTTGTAATCCTTGCTACTCAAGAGGCGGAGGGCCAAAGTGCAGAAGCCAACCCAAGCAGAAAAGCCACGGACCCCTTGGACAGTCTAGGGCCAGCTGAATCTGAGAGAACCCAGCCTGGAGTCCCGGGTCAGCCCTGCAGGCGGGGCTAGCATGGCGGCGCGTCCCCGGGTGCGTGGTGCGGCAGCCCGGCCTGGCAGAGGGAATGGGGGCTGAATTCTGACTGGAGGCCGACGTCACACACTGCTTTGGGCCTGAGATGGCTTGAGAAGAAAGTCTGCTCACCCTCCAAAGAACCCCACCCAAGAGAGGGCAGAGCGCTGGCGATCCCGGAGAGGGGCCGGGACACACCGTGCGAGTCCAGCGATCCGAGGCCAGAGCGCAGACGGGACTCCGCACGCGGGACCAGGCAGCGCCCGCGGGCTCCCTGCGTGGAGAGCTGAAGAGGGCTGCGCGGCGCCCGCGCAGAGCCAGGCGACGCCGGGCGTGCGGGCGCGGGGGCGCAGGGGTGCGGGCGCGGGCGTGCGGGCGCGGGGGTGCGGGGGGCGCAGGGGTGCGGGCGCGGGGCCAGGCGACGCCAGGCGTGCGGCGCGGGGGTGCGGGCGCAGAGCCAGGCGACGCCGGGCGTGCGGGCGCGGGGGTGCGGGCGCGGGC